CACTGTGATAAAACTCCAGACATTTGAGAACACTTGAGAAATGCAGCTTGTTTTCTACATTTCCCTTGTGCTCTCAAATACCCGTCGTGTTTTATCACTGTAATACACGGCTTAGGCTTCTTTATTTGTTAAATACATCAGCTTCACTATAATGCAAGATCTCTGTGTTATATAAATCAGACTGGCAAATTACAAAACAAATATTGACAATAACATCATGAGAACACACAATTTCCACCACACCTTTCAAAGTAGTAACTTCTACCATTTGCTTGCTGGAATCTGAACTGTGTGAACTTACACCTGCACTCTTGGATAAACAAAAGAAGAATTATTCAAGAAGAAATGCAAATTAATCAATATCTAGCACAATTGTCTTGTCATTGTAACCCTAGGGTCACTGGTGCACACCTGGTAATTATGTTGTTGTTGTTGCTTTCTCCCCACATTTTAACATGTATATAATATTACAGGGCTGTCATTACATTTTGATTCACCTGTAGCATTGACCTTCACACCCGCCACAAACTTGTTCGTTTATGTGTAAATTGTATCAACTACAGGCAAGTTCACTTGAAACATCAAAAGCCCATGAAGCACACTCAGCCATAGCAGGTGTTATAGGTTATGGTCCTCATGGACAGCCCTGTAATTATTTGCTTCTCAGTAAAGATTCAGCATATCTTATTCTTAGAGGCCAAATCAGCCTCATTAACCCAAGGGTAAATTAAGTTATGTAAGCCCATGTATGCATCACTTATCCCAGTTTCCAAAGCAGTATACAGCATCTCTCTGTCAAGAAAAACCACGATGTTTAGAAAAAACTGTGAAACAAAACTTCTTTTTTCATGATTAGTTACCGGTATTTAAAACAACATAATACTTCATGCAAGCACACATAAAATGGTGTTACATAAAAAGATACTTAAGGTAAAAATATTTTGCACAAAATATTACACTTCAGAATTAATCACTTTTTTGATGGCAATATTATGACTTGTGAACAGTGGATGCTGAGAAAAGCCTTCAACTTCTTTACTTGAAAATATCTTCTTCTATGAAAAAAGACACCAACAGGAAAAAGACATGTCATTAATAACAGATGCAGATACAATATAATTTGCCTGTACTCTGCTTGCCAAATCTGGAAAATTGCTTTACCTTTCAAGTGGTAAAAGGAGGATTATTAATTTCTACTTCTTAAAAGTTCCACACAGGTAGGTCAGGAGGTGCAGTGGCCTCATGGTTAGTGTGCTCCCTTCCGGATTGCGCAGTCTGGGTCTCAGTCCCAGCCGGGGATACTGGGCAAGACACTTCACTCTCACAGTGCTTCTCTCCACCCAGGTGACTAATTGGGTACTGGCAAATTTATTGCTGAAGGTAACCTTGCGATGGACTAGCAACCCATCCACAGGGAAGTACAAATACTCCTAGTTACTTCATTCTACAGAAACTGGAGATAAGCACCAGCCTGATGGGACATTTAAAGAAACACTCATGAACGTTTGGGAGAACTCGAAAAAGCTGTGGAAACAATCGCCTGCAGCCTGTGTTCCCACAGCATTTCTCATTCTCCCAAATTTCCACTTCTGTTTCTGTAACTCAATAGAAACATGGTACATGTTTTCTATTTCTTAAAGGATTAATCACTGTTAGGATCACTCCTGAAGGTCCCAATAAAGAAACATGAATTCTCTTTACTGACTGTTATACAGTCCTGTTAAACTTTGTTCTGAGAATAATTTTTACTTGATATGAGTTCTTTATTCACCCAACTGCTGGATGTTTCAAAATTGAAGAGAGAGAAACACACAGAACAGACAGATTTCTACCTTCGTTGTTTCGCCTTTTCTTTCCATAACTTTGACATCGTCATCTTCACTGCTATCACTATATGCTCTGGCTGACTTTAAAATGCACTCACAAACTTCATAGCTGTACAGCACAAGAATGTTTAGAAGTCTCAGTGCAACTAAAGCTGTTGTCTGCAAGGTGGCAAGATTCTTAGCATGTTCACTTTCACACCCCAAGCCATCCTTCAGTTCTGAAAAATCTTGTGTTGGAGAGCCTCTGGGCAAACAAGTGCTTAGGATGTTGTCATCACTCGTTTCTGTTCTCTGTTCAATGTAATGCAAAATGTGGCACTCGAGTAAAGGAACGAAATTGACAGCTTTAGGTAAATGACCATCACGATGAGCTTTCAATTTTGATGTTGGTGTCGTGCCTTTCAAGTCACTGTCTACTTGACATTGATTTAAAAGCTCAGACAAAGTTTGCATCACGAAAGTGTTATCACCGCTAATTGAACAATCTTTCTGTGTTACAGTGCCCATAGATCTCTGCATTTTTGAGGTACCTTGAGTTTCAAATAGCCGCAGAGTATGTGAGACATTTGTTTCAGTGAGAGTTGTTTTTTGCAAAGCAGGATGAGAGTTTGCAAAAGGTCTATCAAGAGACAGAAGTGAAATAATGCTGCCTTCATTGAAAGTTTTGTTTTCTGGATCATGAAGAAGATGCAATTCTTTTTCATGTGGCGCTAAAAGGTTTTGAACAAGTTCAACTTCAAGTGTACTCTGAACATGAAGCTGCACAATTTCTTTTTCACTGATATTTGTTTCCCTTTGCTGTGTTTTCATCCTCTCTAGAGAAGGTGAGCTACTGGAATTGTCACTTACTACTGAATTTTCAGAATTCTCTCCCTCAGAAAGTCTTTGTGAGTTCTGTCTGTTTTGAGTTTTCAAATCTTTTGAGCTCTGCTTTATACACCTGGGTGACTTGTTTTGGGTCTCTGGAGATGTTTTCTGGAAAAATGAAGTGCCTGTTGGAAAAACTTCACTCAGATTGAAAGTCTTCCTTTTAGGACTACTGTTACTGCCTTCAGTCAAAGAAGCCGTCCTTTTCTTGTTTTGCTCAATCATTTGTGAAATTTCTCGTTCTTTGAACCGAATTTGAGTAGTTAAGTTTTCAACTTGTTTCTCTAATTCCTTTTCATGTTGGCTTTGTTCTCTGGCCTGTTGCTCTTGCACAGCTCTTTCTTCCCCTTGCCTCCTCTTCTCGTCAGCCTGATAATGCTCAAGGGAATCCCGCAAAATCTTGATCTCTCCATCTTTGCCGAATTTCTCCTCTTCCAGTGATTTCACCTTTGAGCTGGCAGCAGCAAAATCTGCTTTTAATCTTTCAATCTCCTTTCTCAAATTTTCCATTTGCCCGTCTTCAGGGTGACTTGTCACAGTAGTATTGCGGCTGCTGCTGCTGTTAAGAATGTTCATTTTACCAACACTGTTTGCTCTTGTGTGATCGCTGGCTAAGGAAACTGATCCATTACATTGGTCAATAAATGAAAGCAACACCGAGTCACCTTTCGTCAATGGTTTGGCATATTTCACACTAGCATCCTCTTCTGGATGTGTCACAATTGGCGCTCGAAATTCTCTAGTACTGTTGAAAGGAAAACCCACTGTGTCACTCAAACTGGAGTGGGATGTATTAACAACATATTCTTGAGTATTCTTAGTGTCATCATTTTCATCAGAACAATCTGCTGGGGATAGACGCGAAGAATAAAATACATCTTTACTGGCAGAGCTGAAATTTTCGTTTCTCAAGGGTACATTGGAAGTCAACTCGGCAGGATTAATCCTCTGGGCTTCCAGCTTCATGGATGCAGCCCGATCGCATTCATCAAGCTGTTCAGCTGCTGTCAAAAGTTCTTCATCGCAATCATCTTCTAAAGCATCAAACTCTTCATCAAAAACATCAAGAGGAAGATCGCGACATGCTTCCTCCGCAGCTATCTCCTCAGCCCTTTTATCGGACAAACAATGAGAACGTTTGAATTTTTTGTACGGAGACTCGTGGTTGATGTTGGCTCGTGGCTGAACTCCATTGCTTGTTGAACTCCCGGGTAGACCTGTAAACGCACTGCTGTCTCTTGATCGAGTTGCAACAGGATTGTAGATAAAATTACGCCTCTTCTGATTCCCCAGAAGATTATTGTTGCTAAAGTTGGACATCATTAACGAACACTAACGACTTCATACTCAAAGACCACAGACCCAACAGTGTGGAATATGGCAAATCGAAGTTTGCCGCGAAGACTGTTATCACGCTAGAGTTTCTGGGAGCGTCTGGTTAGGTGGAAGACCGCTGACATTGCCGCAGAAGATTTTAGCGTTCAAAACCCTTGTTTTACTTTGGTGATTTGAAGACTCCAGAGCGACAAGGACGACGATTAATATAAACTGCACCCCTCTTTTGTTCTTGAAGCTGACTCGTTAAATTAAGAACATGATTAGGAGGCAATTGTACAAATCTCACTTTTTGTTCCTTTAAACGTTACATAATGAATCTTCACACGGTTTATCTGTTCGGATGAGAAGTGGTTGGTTCCATCAGAGGACCTTGTTCAAACATAAATAGAAAAATAAATAAGTCTGCCATATTTTCAAACATGTATTTTCATGGAAGCAGGAACATGAGCTTTAATTCAAAGCCTATTCCGGCTTTGTGGGCGTCGCTTGAAATTTTTCCACCCCTAAGAGAGACCATTTCTAAATTTTAGAAATGATACCTCTCTTGTCATATTTTTTTTCGGCTGAATACCCTAAAATGTACTGCTGTAAACCTTCTGAACACACTAAAAGGTACCAAAACTGCTGTTTAACCCCAAAGGTACGACAAGCATCCCCGGTACCTCAAAATTTGGATGCAGGGTGTTACAATATGCACTGATTACTAACGATCATTAACTAGACTATAGGTTAGAGTTACATTCTAGTGTCTAACACTGTGAATGAAACGCAGCTTGAAATATGGTGGCAGCGAAATAGGGTCAAATAGGACAACGACTCCTCGCCTACCATTTACAGAGTCGCGCGAATTACAGCTGAGATCATTCTCTTGCACGGCAAGTAAACGGATAATTTGAATAACGATAGCCCATTTACTTGTTCCAGGATATCTTAAGACCACTTGGTTCTACATGGGTTGATAACCACTGAATATAATGAGTAATGACTCTAGAAACGATTGAATGAAATGCAAACCGTAAAGGTAAATGTGAGGGATTCAAGAGATGAAGGCTGTGTAGGTATAGGTAGGGGATTTAATGAGATGTGGGCTGTGTAGGTATATGTGAGGT